ATTTTTTTTTTTTGGTGGGGGGCGGCAGGGGTAGATGGAGTCTTTTCAGGGGGAAGGGGGAGGCAGGAGTAGAACTGGCTGGGTAGAGCTGTTTGCTGATTTTCAGCTTGAGTGTTGAAGTGACTTTTGTATACTGGATTGTTCTTTGCAGTGTGTTGGTGTTGCACTGTCAGAATTGTATCAGTGGTGTTGTAAAATGTATACTCAGTGGATCAAACAAACACTGCCAGCTGGCCTTTGACCATCCAGTGGTAGGTGTTCTGATACCACCAGTAGGACAGGACAGCCTGTAGAATCACCCATGTGACTGGGAGACAGCAAATACGAAGTGATCAATGATGGGCAGCCTGAGAAGGTACTTGTCTTTGAAATAATATTTCTTGCATTTCTACTCACTGACTTATTAAGAAATTATACAACATATTCTTTATGTACTTACTAAAAGAAAATTCATTGGTGTGTGAGAGTTTCTTTTTTTCTTTCATCAAACGATTCTGGAGGACCCGGCGGAAGGACGACAGGACCAGTGGAGCGTTTATATCAAGACTGTCAAGAAACGAGAAGTGATGAATGATGATCAGTATTAGAAAGTATTTGTCATTGATGTATGTCTTGTAACATTATTTACTGAGACGTAAGTTCCATAATTATTAGGACATTATCTAAGTCATAGATTATAAAATTAGAATACATATCGATGAGTCAGGGCTCGACTTGAAATGTCGGAAATCTACACCCAAAGTGATCTAAATTGTGTTTGGAGAGGGGGGGGGGAGCTCGCAGACAAAGAATCGTCACCATAGACAATAAAGGGTAGGGGAGGAACTATAGATTTTACCTCGGTAATTAAATGAACCAAGAAATGGTAATCAAATCCTAGGGCGAAAGCAATTACTGGGATGTTGGGTGTGCACTGGAACTACGGGAATTGGAGGAGGGGGGGGGTTATAGGAGAGGGAAGAGCATGCACATGCACGAGCACACACACACACACACACACACACACACACACACACACACACACACACAC